CATCACCAACCGAGGTGACATCATCAGTGCGTTATTGTGGAGCGTAGGAGTGCGTAGCGTTGGGTTGGTGGTTGTGCGTTGGGTAGTGTTGTGCGTGTGTTAATATACATGCTGCTAGCAGAGGATGACCTTTGATCGCGATTAGTTGTTTGGTCGGGCGATTCCGTTGGTTACTCCGTTGTCCTGTGCCCTCATTCGCCGATGCCCACGTGACCTCTGAGCTTGGCATCCCCTGCCGTCATAGTCTGGTCGATGCTAGAGCAACCTTTGTCCTTTCCAGTCCCGGGTTGTGACCTTTATTGATCTGCCTCCAAGGAGTTCCTTGTTTCGTTGTTTGTGAGTCCAATATTCGGTCCTCCTTGAGTTTTCCGGTTGAGATGTTGGTCTTTTGCACGTAGAGGTGCGTAAATTGGGTCCAGTTCGATGCACCGGTTGATCGAATCTGCCGTGGAGTACCATGCTTCCAGAAATTCTCTTCCGTGTCTCGTGCCTCCGTATGCCAAAATTTTTGCGTCTTCCAAGTTGAATTTGTGGCCTTCCTGGTCCTCGTGTATGGATATCAAGGACAGGGGGTCATGACTCCTGACGGCCGTGTTGTGTTCCTTTATTCGTGTGCATAGTCTCCTCCCAGTTTGTCCGACGTAGAATTTGTTGCAGTTGAGTTGGTATGTCACATTGTTCTTCTTGGTTTTGTCCGGGTTCTCCTTCGGTCTAGAGATTAATTTCCTCGGGGTGGCATTCGGTTTGTGGGCCACGAAGATTCCTTTTTGAGCCAATAATCTGGTCGCGAGTTCTGATATATTCTTGATGTAAGGCAGGACTACCCGTCTGTTGGCTTGTTCTTGCTGTTGCCGTTGTTGAGGTACCTTCTTCTTCAAGCTTCTCTTGATAAAATTCCTTGGATATCCATTGTTCTGGAATTCTCTGAATAGATGGTTTTCTTCCTTCTTCCGCAGTTCTGTGGTGCTGCAATGTGTCTCTGCCCTCCTCTATAGAACACTGGTTTTCTGTTGGATCTCTTCGATCGGAACCGCCGTTTACCGAATGACCAGCGTTGTAAGCTGCGGGAAATCACATAGTCGTTTATTTTCTCTTCAATCTGTACACCGCGGTGATCGTCGGGGGCGGGCGGCGATAAAAGACTACCCATCAAGGGTCAGCAGAAACTATCTCTGTCAGTGATCACCTAATGGTGGGAGGTTAGCCACTGTCCTCTCTAGACGGCCTTTCGAATTTGGGGTTGATGTAGATCTGTTGTTATTTTTGGTGGCGCTAAAATGGATTCAACAGCTTTTTTGGTGAAGCCCCACCCATCTATTCGGACGACTTTGTAAAACATCTTAAACGGATTTTGTGCAGATCACGTCGCTTTGTTGTACTCGGCAGCATGTGTGTGTCAAGATGGAATGCCAATAAACGTGCGTCTAAAGTCAAATGGACGACTTTGTAAAACATCTTAAACGGATTTTGTGCAGATCACGTCGCTTTGTTGTACTCGGCAGCATGTGTGTGTCAAGATGTAATGCCAATAAACGTGCGTCTGAAAGTCAACTTAGCTACACATTCCCGAATGCGAACTCGTTGGTACTATCATCTTTACGTATCTCCAAAATCCCAGACTCTTCAAGGTACAAAATTTCGCTGCATTTAGAAACCGTACAGAATGGATTGCAGCTTTAGCGAATTAGAGTTTCCAAACTTTACATTTACTTGCAGTAGGTTGGTATAGACCCAAAGACTAGCTAACATAGTTCTTCGTTTATCTTACTGTCGCTTTCTTCCGAAACATGACTCACAACATTGGTTGACCGTAAGTAATCAAATGAAAGCAACGATCACAGTCGTAAGATGCGAGCTTTTAGCTGTAATTCGGTTGCACTATTCGAGCCAATCAGCTGATTTTCCCCCTGATAAACAGGGGCCAACCAATTTCAAAGGCGAAACGCTTTTGCACCCAGTGCCTCTACCTCACACATTGTACATCAGTTCACGTGTTGAAATATGTCAACGGCCGCCAAAACGGACAGGAACGCCACAGAACGTCCACCTGATAGTTTTTGTCAAATCGCTACCCGGTCGACTGCTGACATACAAGGTTAAACTCTGAAACTCGCCTCGTCAGCTGCGAAGCACACTAGCCATTGGACTGATCCTCGCAATCACAGCTCACAACTTTTGACGTTCGATAAGGCTCAGCTTTTGTGCACAAAACGTCTATAATTAGTGCTGAGAGTCATACATCTCATTCGTATGTGGGATGTAAATTTTTGGTGTTAAGAATGCAATGATAAAACAGGAATATTCCGCTGTATTATGCCGATTGCTGTCGGCTCACTCGCCAGTTGTTCGGCTTAAATGGACTTCGTTTCCATCCGGCGTCCGTTTTGTGGTCGATCCTAGAATATTTATATTTGATCGCCTCTACGATACTAGTTTCATTAGTTTTCTGCTAGTCACTGCAACTGACACCGATTGTGTTGGTTTACTAATTGATTCTTATGCGACTAGAAATGAGCAAAGTTGTCAGCGTAAAGTATTCAGGCTCTTTTCAGACAAACGGTAAATAGTCGCGTTCAGAATAGTCCGCATTGTCTCTGAGTTGTCCTAGGAAACTGTCCAGAAATTCGCACCTTTGAAGATTGTGCAAAAAATTTGACTGGTTGCTTGTTTGTTCTTTTTTTCTTACCCATGCCATACAAATAAGCCCCCTCCCCCGAATATTTCACCGAGAACGTGAAGTTGTGATCCCAGTGGTATGGGAAAATTGATATTTATTTCGCAAGTAACCGTTGCCTAGGCTTTCAGCGAATTCTAGCGGATTTGACTCTTTTCTGACCATATTAACCGACACACTGGACCGACACTGTCCTACTTGCTGTTATGAATCTCTAGGAACAAAACCGGTCTGAATTCCTAAAGCCAACTCGTCGCCATTGTGGAAGATTTTCGCAACGCCTCATTGAAGTCTCAGCCGATAAGCAGTGAGGCTTTTCAACTAGCGTGAGCAAGTTATTTTCCTCTTGTGGGATATTCCGCCCCTTATGATCAAATCACTCTTCTGTGAAATGCCTAAAGTTATTTGAAACGGTTTACTTGTGTCTTGAGTTGTCATTTCTAGGTTTCTAGGTTTATTTGTAGTGCATCGACACAGGCCACTAGCGTTAATGGTACTGAGAAACAAATTACTCTGATGTGGCGACGTGACCCATTAGTTTATCCGATTTTATCGCATCCCAACTAAATTGACCGTCTTCTTTGTTCAGCAGTTTTACCAACCGTGTGACCAACTCTCACAAGTTGTTTGACAGAGCATCACTGTCCACCGACTTGAAATTAGGTATACATAAACGGGACTACTGATATAACTAGTGTTGCAAAGCAATCGATCGCGTTCAAATGATATAAGACTGCAGACCATAACAGAAACAGGCGGTCGATTTATATTTGATCGCCTCTACGATACTAGTTTCATTAGTTTTCTGCTAGTCACTGCAACTGACACCGATTGTGTTGGTTTACTAATTGATTCTTATGCGACTAGAAATGAGCAAAGTTGTCAGCGTAAAGTATTCAGGCTCTTTTCAGACAAACGGTAAATAGTCGCGTTCAGAATAGTCCGCATTGTCTCTGAGTTGTCCTAGGAAACTGTCCAGAAATTCGCACCTTTGAAGATTGTGCAAAAAATTTGACTGGTTGCTTGTTTGTTCTTTTTTTCTTACCCATGCCATACAAATAAGCCCCCTCCCCCGAATATTTCACCGAGAACGTGAAGTTGTGATCCCAGTGGTATGGGAAAATTGATATTTATTTCGCAAGTAACCGTTGCCTAGGCTTTCAGCGAATTCTAGCGGATTTGACTCTTTTCTGACCATATTAACCGACACACTGGACCGACACTGTCCTACTTGCTGTTATGAATCTCTAGGAACAAAACCGGTCTGAATTCCTAAAGCCAACTCGTCGCCATTGTGGAAGATTTTCGCAACGCCTCATTGAAGTCTCAGCCGATAAGCAGTGAGGCTTTTCAACTAGCGTGAGCAAGTTATTTTCCTCTTGTGGGATATTCCGCCCCTTATGATCAAATCACTCTTCTGTGAAATGCCTAAAGTTATTTGAAACGGTTTACTTGTGTCTTGAGTTGTCATTTCTAGGTTTCTAGGTTTATTTGTAGTGCATCGACACAGGCCACTAGCGTTAATGGTACTGAGAAACAAATTACTCTGATGTGGCGACGTGACCCATTAGTTTATCCGATTTTATCGCATCCCAACTAAATTGACCGTCTTCTTTGTTCAGCAGTTTTACCAACCGTGTGACCAACTCTCACAAGTTGTTTGACAGAGCATCACTGTCCACCGACTTGAAATTAGGTATACATAAACGGGACTACTGATATAACTAGTGTTGCAAAGCAATCGATCGCGTTCAAATGATATAAGACTGCAGACCATAACAGAAACAGGCGGTCGGGCGGTAAGGGTGGTCATATCGAGTTCCCGTAAATCTCTGTCACCCGCGCAAAGGCAGGAGCGGTGCCAGAAGAGAAACATGAAACTTCATGCTTGGGCCCGATCGAAATACGCATGCTTTTACCTGGTGACTAACTTGCTCTTGAGTTTCGTTTTGCTATTACTTAACAAGCATGAGTGACGAGACCGCAGATAGAATGCCACAATGTCCAACCAACTTTACACAGAGATTTTATCCTTCGGTGCGAAAATGACCTGGTGGTCGTCCGGAAATTGTTTTCTGAAGAAAATGTCTACGGTTACAGCAAAGAACAACTTAGAAAGTATCAGTATCAGAAAGTATCTGTTCTAAGGGTGAATAACTGTATGTAAGCCGTTAGCAGATAGCTTCACCTCATTTCAAATAACTCATTCAGACCACTACCGCGACGAGCGTAGGATGTCTCAATACTGCTTTATTATCGATACGTACTGTTTGCTGTGCGCATACATCACTGTCATTTTCAACAGTCATGTTTGATTCCTTTCCAGTGTTTCTGCATTCGAACGTGACTGTGACCTGGTGGAGATCATCTCACCAACGAAGAGAGACGCACTTCCCTGTGTTCTCGTAGATGTCAAGTATCTTCCAGATGCTCAAAAGCACATTTTGTCCAGCGAAGCGGCCAGAGATCGTTTAGTGCAGTTTCTTGGGGATCTGTCCTCAAAACCAGACCAGAAACGCTACACACTGATTGCACTCGCAATGGTTTTCATGGATGGTGTGGACCTGAACTTGTATCGATCAGTTGTCCAAATCACCCGTCCCTATGTCAAACACCTCTCGGTATTGTGAATTGCTGAAAGATTTTTACGTTCAAATTAGCAAATTTTCTCATCACTTTTCCCAGGTCTGATCCATCCTATTTCGTCTGATCATGGATCATTTTCATACGCTAGACTGGATCAGGGTGACGTGTCCCGAAGTAAGCATGTTTTCATTGAAGGGAACAATGACGAAGCAGATAACGAACCACCGTAAGGTGCCACCGGCTACCTGAAAAATGATACGACTTCATTATCCGATTCAAATATATGTAGACTGTGATCTTTCCCTCACATAAAACAAGCCTATGCCATCAACCGAAAGCATGCGGTTTGTCACTCCGTAAACGAATGAATGTAGTTTTGGCATCCCACAGAGACGTTTAGTAGTGGCGTGGAGTCCTCTTGAAACCGTTCTATTGGAATGAGATTGCTTCGTGTCAACAAACTCTGAGAACAGTCGATTACAACTCACTAGAACTATGCATTTCGGAATAATTCGAACCTGCAGGCAACAGCTGACAGTAGGATCAGCGTCTAGCAAAGATAACGTTTGCATGTTAATCCATTCGTGAAACTTCGCAATAGGCAGGCAGAATAACTGCCACCTGATCAACAATCAACCAACTTACTCAAGCCATCTATGGCTATGCACATTGTCAAAGAGAACATCGCTGAGTTGGACACAGTACCCTCGCTACACAGAAATCATTTCCGTCTCTAAGACTATCACGTAGAAGTATATGACATCCACAAATTTCAGACTGCCTTTCCTTCCGTATTACGGGAACCCCTTTAATACGACCAAGTTCGCCTGGAATCTGCGTGCTGATATGCAAGGAATACTGTACAACGGTAACTCACGGGGATTAGATGATTTTAGGTATAGATAGTCAAAGGAAAGTTGGAGCAATTAATGGAGAATGCAGGACCAGTGCAAAGATGCGGACCAATGTGGTACCTTAAAGTTCGCCGGACACTGCACGTTTCATGCGCCTCAGCATCACTCAACTCCAACCCAAGCACTGATGGACGAGATTATAGCCACGGATGCAGTACATAAGCCACCAGTCGTACAACACGTTTGTGCGTACTGGTGTAATGCAGTCACCGTATAGTCCAGTTGCTTTACTTAAGGTAAGGTTAGAAATCCTAAGCGGTACTCCAGTGATACTACTGATCAATGCCCAAAGTTAGCATGTGAATTCCAGCCCAGATCAGCATCTGGCAAACCAGTCTGAAGCATTACATCGACATTGTCGATTTGGTAACTTCCGAAAGTAACACACCATAAAGAACAGGAAGTGTGTCCGAGGGTACATAGCTTGGCTTTGGATTTGAAAATCGCCTGCTAGTAGGTGATGCGACAACTATGCGGGAAATGGCATTCCACTTTTCTGCACCTGGCTAAGCGGTATATGTTTCAGCCTCTCTGCCGGTGTGAAATGAGTCACAAACAACTATTCTGACCAATTTTGATGTGCTAGTAGTCATTCCCAAAGATTAAGCACTCGAAGTAAAGTGATTCACTTAGTTCATGAACGATTCCGACTAGTAAGTGCTACGCACCAGTCATTCCTGAGAGCTCTCAGTCAAAAAGTCAACTTGGATTCAGGCCTTCCGGACGGGATGTCACTCGTAACTGATAAGCTTACCAAACGAAACCACTGGGTGATATAATAAGAGTTAAGTTGGGAGGCTGAAACTGACCGAAAACACGAACCAGTTCATATCCTAATAGGATAAGAAACACAACAGAACGAAAGGTCTGTGTTGCGGGAGCTGGGACTATTTTGTGTGAGGAGGAATTTAGATCTTTAGTAGTGCGCAATACAATCTTCCAACGTTCAAGAAAACATTGCAACTAATCTAATTCCTATCATGTTTAAGACAGTGCCAAGTGCAGGACGGAAAAAAATTATTGGGTGAGTGTTATATATTCTGCTATACAATCCACCTTCCCCAACAAATACCAAGTAGGAAAAGAATACGTAAAATAGATTAAAAATATAAATGGGAGCTACGTAAGAAGAGTGACTGCTTCCCATGATGGACATCACAGATAAAGTCCTCTCGCAACATGACGACAGCGATCACCTATTGCTGTGTTCCGTCAAGTATTGGTCGTAGCACGACCGAGCCCTCCGAAGAATACTTGGAAGGTTGTGCTTTTTCGCGGTGTGCTGATAAAATGCAAACAGGTCGCTTGCATCGTTCACATTTGCAAGAAGAACCTCACGGTATTCAAGTAACAAGGAGAGACAAACGAAAAGTAGAAACGGGTTACCGTAACCGAACTGATCGGGGGATGGAAGCCGCGTAACCGATTTGACAAGACGCATAGATCCGAAACGCTCTAATCCTACAGTGGTCTTCGGCGAAAAATTCTCACGTTGAAACACATAGGCGCTAGTAGTACGAGAAATTCCGGTCCGATTCCACGGAAATTCCTCCTTAGTTAATTCAGTCTGAAAATCCGAATTTTGCGACCGTTTGTCACCCACAACGTCGGAATTCACCTCGTCTCGGCGTAGTGCGTTTTGGCCGTTCGACACCAAGAGGCATGATGATGATGGTAATTGTGAAGGTGTAGTACAACACAGGCGCATTTTGCTCCTTCGATACCATGGGTTGACAAACTGGGCACCAATTAGCGCATTAATTAGACTGACGTCTCGGGCAGCGTACCCGTGCTCGGACGTGAGGGGATAGTTGTCCGTTTCTTCTGATGGGGCTTCCATGAAGATCGGTTCGGACTCTGAAAGCGCAAGGTAACCTCCGGATTTGGAATTACTCGATTGAAGGTTAGGATGGGACGACAGGCGAACTAGGGTTACAGAGGCCCATTGTACTTCGAACAAACGAAGGATATCATCGAAAGAAAACTCGCGTTTTAGTTCGAGCATCAACCAACGTTGAGTGAAATACATGTCTGCCACACCGCACATTTTCAAGAACCGTGCCAGGTGTGGGTCAGTGTAGGCGAGTAAATCGTACAAATGCCGCAATTTGTTAATCAGGCCAACTTGTTGCGCACAACAGAAGTTATCTTTGAGGCGTTGCATCAAGGCGCAAAAACAGAAGTAGGCTGGAGCCTCCTCCTCCTGAACAATTAGCAGAGGACTGGCCAGATCCGACATACCTGGAAATAGAAATAGAATGCACAAAGATCAGCTAAGTGGGGTTTCCCACTGTTAGGTACTCGCACCTAATTCGTGGTTGCCTACTAGCGCCCATGACTTTTAAAGAGCAGATAGCCACCAAAATCGTGGTGAAGCTGTCAATTTAGGTTTGCTAAGCGGATAACGCTTGGGCGGTTGTATGCGAACGCAGTGGAAACGACCCCTGTGATGAACAGGACGATGTAGAGGATAAGAGGACGAAATCTGAATCATACTGTGCACAAAACGTGGGAAATGTGCAAGGCACACTTCAACCAATGGTAGTGCAAGGTTTTTGGTGACCAGGAGCGAACACAGGTCAAGCAACAAGCGAAGGTGATGTGCGTCAGACCTATCACCAAGCGGAGGAGTGAATTTAACGACTGCGTGTTGATACGTATCGGGTTTCTGTGATTGCGTGTAGAGTAGACGTAGGCATAGAAATCGGAACCGGCCGTAACACCACAACTGCTATGGGTGCAGCACTATCCTTCCGTAAAAAATTACGGAAATCCATAACGGTCAGACCTAATAAAATGACGATAAGAACAGCATAAGACTGGACGGTGGGCATGGGCTAGGCCCTTGAGTATCCGTTTGCGTGTGATGTGTTTTGCTTCAGACATGGGCTAAGTTATCTGAGATTCACTTTCATTTCGTCCTGCAACTCGTTGGTTCCTGCAATAGTGTAATTTGGACTGGGCCATACAAATGACAATGATAAATTACTTTTGGTCTAAACAAAATGGCCTGATTTCAGTCGAGACCCCGGCTTTCTGCACGTTGTTTGATATGAAATGCAACGAACGAATCGCTTCTGTTCAATAACCTCAGGAGTTGCGTGTGCGGCATTCAGTTTAGTTCGAAAAAAGCCATCACACTATTCTGACAAAAATTCATCCGTAGCTCCGCAACGGATAGTTCTGTGGGTGGACACGACAAAAACACCCCATCAACAAGAAATGCCACCAGTGCCCGAACGATCCGATCATTCCGCCATGGTTCATGCGGTACAGTACCTAAGTGTATATTATTATAAAATTGAAAAAGGAACATCGGAAGTCATGAACTGTGAGCTGGGACATATCTGCTGCTATCTCTTCGCGAAGCCTAAATCGTTAGTATGAGTTTTCGGGCCAACCCATGATACAGTTAGTCATTAATTCGAAAAAAGCGACTAACTGGTCGTTGGGTACAGAGGTATGTTGCAACAAGGTGGTAATTTTTGATTTTGTGGCTCAGAACCAAAATCAACAACAATATCAATCGCTGACCAATCTATTCAGTATAAAGAAAGACCATGGTAAACCGCTATAGTAAACCTCTTACTCGCACAGAAATTATTCATTTACCTCGGTTTGGCAATTTTTCAACAGAATGCCACAAGCCACTGAAGGAGTGCTGCCACTTAGCCACGAGGAGTTAAACCGAAGTTCTACAACTGTGGTACCCACACTCAACACAAAATAATGCCAATGATTCCGGAAAGCATCGATACTCAGGTAGCGAATCTTGTACCAGTGCAACCACCCAAGCCGCCGTACTGTCAAGCATCTTACCAAGTTTCGTGATGGGTCAAGTTTGGAGCGTAGGATGTCCGGTGAGCATATCTAAGGCCGGCTAAGGTTCATGTCACGTGTGATGGTAGGTATGAGGCCAGATCAGTCAGTGTAACGGCAGCAGAGCATGTGGTGTCAGTTAGACGAGCAAAATCGATTAGTCATGATACGGACGGAAAAAAAGGGTGTCACGTGCCATTATGGTGGTAAAAAATTGGGTTCACTGCTAAGGGTCAGTACAGTTACATAGAATAAAATAAAGCAGAAGAAAATGGACTACTAAGCGAAAGACAAACCAGCAATTGCTTTCATGCGCACAAAGGAGGATTGAAACGATGCACTGCAACTACCTCAGTTTTTGTTGCGTCGTTGTATCCGAAATGTGACCACTGTCTAAAATATGTTTAGTAGTCGTGGATTTCGGATTGCGCGGCTGCTCTGGCAAGCCGCTTCACAATAGGGCTCCCATATTGGTGTTCCAAGATGTTTCATGGGGTTAGCGACGTATCTAGCTTCGCGGACACAATTGAGGTGATAGATCAAGTTGGATTTTGCGACGCAATCGGGTCCTTTTTGCATAGGGTTGGAATGTATGTAGTTTGTTGAAAGGATGTAATTGAGCAGCATTGCTCGGTGCTATCGGATGGCGCTTAAACAAGGACGTTTTTGATAATCCACACATGGGTCGTCTGCCGGAGCCTGTTGTTGACAAGTATTCGAGTGTGCGTTGGCCTGTGAAAACTTTCACACAACTCCCTGGAGTGGCTATTGACTATGGGTCTCACTTATCGTACCGCGTCAATCTGCACCTTTTCGACCAAAAATTGGTGGTATCTGATAAAATACGCTTCATTTCATTGTAATCTGCTAAATGTGACAGACCCGTTGTCCTTGCTGGGATAACGAGTTGATTGTCTCTCTGATGTAGTTTCAGTTGCTGGACGTGTTGTTTACTGAGTAAACAAAGCTGGTTGGCAAGTGGCCGTTCGTACTGGTGAGTCAGATGGACCAATCTCGAGTTGAACCAGCTCACAATATGAGTAGATATGGGCTTTGGATGGAATTTTATTGTGTCCTATTATGTGGCTCCGTTGGGTCGTTAAATTCACCCACAAAAGCGAACTCTGTTTTTCATCACCGTGATGGCACATGTGACATCTTCTTTCTCTGTCCGTCCCATGATTAATCAATTTTTTATTCGTCTAGCTGAAATCACATGCTCTGTTGTCGTTACACGGACTGATCTGGTCTTTCATACCAATCCTCCCACGTGACATGAGTTGTGAGCATTTGCGAATACTCTCGCCTTAGCTAATATCTTGTTAATATCGTGATATCTTGTTAAATATCACCGCGCCTTTTCCTGAAGATTCCGAAATTGCTTGTTTACGGACTTCTTCCCTGTGGGCATATGAACCAGGTGCTGAACAGACAACAAAAACACTCGTTCTTTTCAATATGGTTGCGATGAAGCAATCAGCTGTCACATGATTTTAATCGATCTCGGAGTTTTCGTAGGGTGTCTGTTGTTTTAGATCCAGGTGATTTCATGAGATGCCAAAATAATTAGAAGCAGTTGAGGTTGGTAGTTCAGTCGATACAGATCGACTGAAACAGATGCCAAATGAAGCCCAGAAACCCAAAAACCTCCTCTATCGAAACACCAAACGTTCAGCTAAGACTAGGGGAAAATCCAGCAACATAGCCACCAACTGTTATCCGGACATTCCTGAAGCGACCACTTCTTGATGAGCTGTAAGCTCAGTTACAACATACGAACCTACAGAAATCTTATTTTGGAAATGGTGTAAATGCGCTCCTGGATACGAGTACTTATGGAAAGGATTGGAGATGGCACATGGTTGATTCTTTGCTGATGGTATGAGGAATGGCCACCGCCTCCTCCATCCTTTTGCAACAGTGTAGTGTATATAGTGTGTATAATGTAGTGTATAATGTAATGTATAATGTAATGTATAATGTAACATAGTGTATAATGTAATGTATATAGTGTTGTATAATCCAAACAGTAAGTGAAGTGTAAGCGCAACACGGCCGTAGCTGTTTACTCAAACTCAGAGGAACTTAGTAAAGAAAACGCTCCGATTGCTAAGATTGCCTGATTTAATTACCTCACTTGGTACCCGGACGAAACGATTTTCTGCAATCGCTCAGACGAATTACAGTCGCCAGTTCACTAGGGCCTATCGGAAAGCGCGACTTGAGTCTGGTTGATCTGATAACATGTGCCTTTCTCGTACGTTGGTGCCAATGTATTCCAGAGTGATCGTGACACTACTGAAGGGTTCAACACACGCTCACAACGTTTCAACCATTGGTTATATCAGTACCAACAACCCACCAATTATTTTGGCCCTTCGAAAAATTGTGTACACTTATAAGGGGATTCTGGAGTACCGTTTGTCTCTCTCTTTTATGATGCCCACCATCCCCGGCAATGAGCCTCGCAACGCGGAATGTGAGCACTACAGTGAAGATGTATCTCGAGGACGCGGCGGTCTATACTCAAACAGACCTCCGAGCTCAGTCAACAGAACTGCAGCCATCTACAAAAACTGAGTTATTGACATTTCCATCAATACCTCAACGCCATTTTTCAGTATGGCAAGGTGTAGACTTTCAGTCATTATGAAAATGAAATTCATTGCGTTCGGCTATTAACTGAGTCGGTGCAAACAAATTACGAATCTTTCTTTCTATAGTTGCCCCTCAGGAGAGACAAAATCCCTAACAAGAGGCCACGTTTGGCTTGTTTCTCGAAGTGATCACCTCAGATGGAGAGAACTGCAAAAAATCGAGACGATCATTTTCCAACTTATTGTCGACCACTAGTTTTAGCCACGGAAAACCACACAACACTTGGAAGCAGAATTAATGGTCCTTTGTTACTTGAGAAAGATCGACCTTGTTAGTCGGAACTTCGGACTGTTTCGATTAATTGACTCTAAAGTTGGGTACTTTTCACTATGAAGCAACGGCTCTCGGCGCTCAGATTTTCAATGCCACTCCCGTTTGTTATGGAAGCGATCTCTCCGTCGATGAGTCAGGATAACACTTATATCAGCGCAAATCGCGCCATGTAGTGTAGTCATCTGACTCCACAAAATAACCTGAACCGGTGTGCCCCTCATTAAGGCTCATACAGGAGAAAAATATTTGCCTGGAGTCCGAAGTAGTGCCCAATCTCTGAAAGAAAGATTTCTTACTGTGGGTCAATAAATATTCATTTGCAAACTAAAATCCAACAGAATCCCTCGTTTATAATATTCTTCTTACCTTGATTGTAGCCCACATTGGGATGATAAATGCAATAGGTGGCCACCAAGTCAAACAGTTGACAAACACGATACCGATTGTCCTCACCCTTATAGTAGGAAGTCGCTGGAAAGGCAACCGACAAATAACGACGGTCAGTTCCCGAAATGGGAGGTTATAGAGCGATATGAGACCAAGCAGATGTGTGAAATTCAAGAACACGATTCTACTATGGTCCAAAGCAGCCTAATTATTACGGGTAGTACCAAGACAGATAGTCATTAGGGCAAAAGGATGTCTGTGCCCCGGATCATGAAAAGCGAAGCAAAAACGAAGCTACTACAAAAGAATCTTATGACCCTTCTTAGGGTAAACAAAAATTGGGATACAGTTTCAACTAGAGCAGTCTACGATCGCCCAGTAGTTTCAGCCATGTATTATTATTATTATTATTATTATTCACCACAACAGGCGTATGACGCATAAAACCCGACTCCCTTTCATCGTAACGCGACTGGGTGCTACTGCACATAAGCTAACGAGGCATTAGCAATGGCTCTATCGGAGCGCGTTGGATTCTCGGTGGTGAAGTGTTCAACACCAATGCTTCGCTGCCGTACCATGGTTGCACGTGGGCTGGGATACTTTGAGTGCACCCACACCTAGACAGGAAAACGGTTAGGCTGTAACGACTAGGCGGTAATCGTAATGCAGATGTATTACCATTTCTACGGAACAAGTCGCCACATGTTTCAACCCCCAATTTCTAACCTCTAACCATTGACCAACCTGGTATGACAGACTCTGTGGGTGTCGCGTGGACATCCTCAGTATAGTTCAATGGGTCGCTGAGGTGTGCAAGCAGTCACACCACGGTAAAGCGTTTCACGTTATTGATGAAAGATTTTAAACTTGAAAGCTCTCCTCTGAAAGACGCGCTGACATTGGATAAGAATCGTACTGCATTTAGATCAGAATATCTTCACCCTTCTCGACATAAGAAACCAGATAGTCCGTATGCGAAGTACCTTCGGCTAGGAAGTTGACATTGCTTGCATTTCGAAGGCACGGATTCCCGAGTTTCGGTTCACAGCGCCCGAAACGGAGTTTTCCTGCTGTCTGCACCGTAAGAGCTCATTTGCACGTATGCCGGTGCTCTTGAATGTGTTCGCGAGCCAGTACTCCCTATGATTAACAGTTCGTTTCGAGGTACTGGACCTGACAGGGAGCATCTTGAGGATTGTTTTGTTCACCTTAATGGTGAGCAAAACGGACGGTCTTTTCCGCTACCGACGTAACCTCCAAATCAGGAGTACTGACCAAACGCACCTGGTCAATTAACTCGGAGAAGTGGACCCTCTTTTCGGAGATCAATTTTTTGTGTCTGCGCGGTGGAAATCCGAACTTTGACACCATAGGCTGTTGTACAGATGTATTCGGATTGATCCGGGACCCTCAGACCGAGATTGGAGGAAACTGAAGAGAGGATGGTGATTGGTCGGCCAGTTGGTCGGTGGTCGCATGCAGAGTTTTTCAGGGTTTTCAAGGTAGGTCACGCTGACACAGGCAAGGTGATGTCTGAATCTTACGCCCACAAGGATAAGGTATGAAACGTCATTTATTCTCAGTTTCTGTTCTACAACCTTACATCATCGGACATTCAGTCAGACTATTTCTACGGCAAGCTAAAAGAACAAACCAGCCGTAAGCCTAACCGCGATACCCTCATAGCTGCTGATAAACGGGAGAGAGCTGTCGCTCCAGATGACGACCTTCGTTACAGCTTCCGGAAGTTTGGACTGAAACAACGCCGCGAAGGCGGTCAACGATTCATAAGCATGGTCACCCTCAATCGACTCGTGATGTTAAACATGTGTTTCCGCCGCTTGAGTTACAATCCACTCATCGATGGTCCCACGCAAACAGACTACATCCCAACGACACCCTGATGAATATTACCTTATAGAACAGAAAAGAAAGCAGTTCGGGCTATTCCCTCCTAAGTACAAGGTTCAGCATCAACTTGCCTCACTACAAAAACTACGATCTATCTACGACCAGGAAAAGCGTATTCAGCCATCGGTTGCGATGACCAATTACCACTGTCTCCTCACTTCCAAGCATTCCCCGTTGAAGAGTCTCAGTTCAATCGAACTGCGTAAAAACAACACACGAGTGCAGTATATTATGAGTTTTGATGGCGATGCTACAAAGAAGGGATCTCCGAAAGACCGTCCATCTCCTCCAGTTGGCCAGACACGCATGAACAAATTGCGTGTTGAGTTGCGTTGCTTGAGTTGATGTCAATACTAGAAAAAGATGAGCAGATAGACCGAGCACATCAGTACACTATTCAATCAACCTTCCAACGGCCATCAGAGATAACACGGCCATCACGACGACACCTTCCGGTGCGATGCACCTAGAGGTAAATTGTCTACGCTCCTCCGAATATCTGCTGATGGAAGTTATGTGAGAACTGATAGATGTCGCAGCGAAAATCCTTGTCATATTACTACTTTGCCGTCCCAGACTCTCCTGTCAGACCGAATCCGCAGAGGTTCAGTCGAGGTAGTAGCATTGACCAAATACTCAAGGTGAAAGTTCGAGCAACCAACGACCGCGTGCTTGATTGACTTTCGCGCAACACCCGACCCATCCAACATGGTCCGTTTCAAGCTGCTGGGTCTCACCAGGTCCTCAACTCAAGGATAAAAGTTCACATCAGAGTCTATGGAGAAGAGATAACGGTTTTTGCTTTAGACTCCATTTGACAAGGCTCCCATTTTAATCTACGATTTTCCACTTTGTCATCAAGTGGACAATGTTGCGAGACCTCAACACCCGCCACACAAGGGTGATAGGTGTTGTTCGACTATGTACCGGAATGGAGGCCATGATCACATCCATGGTGAATTGCGAATGTTTGCCAAATGGTCACTGAACACGAAGAAACGGAACCCTGGTAGACAGAAGCGACGATATTTAGACACTTCTGCCGAACGTCTAAAGAGATGCTGACATGGACCTCATAGAATGGGAGGTACGGTACAAAACAGGGCGATGAGGGATACGATGGGAACTGCAGTTCGCTAGATAAGTGGCGGTCAGCTTCGAGCAGAGAACTGAACTGTGCAAAACGCAAGGGTATTATCAGGGCTGCTGAATCTGAAGACCGAAAAAATTCAGTCTGCAGCGACTGTTGTTGAGTTTGTGTTGACTACATTGGCCTGGTCAGTCACAAGCGTACACATACTAACTAAGCCACCGACGAAACTTCCGTGGATAAATTGAGTTTACCAGATCCGCCTAAGCTTCCTGAGGCTACCAGATAGCCGAGTAAGCGAAGGTGCTAGAAAATACTTTCCGTAACCATCATAATACGGGCAAAGTTCAATAATGTCTAACATTTGTTGGTCATATGCGTGTGCTCAGGGTGCGTCCTATGTGTGACGTAGGCCACCAAACACTCCTATCAATATGTGCGGATTGAGCCGCAAGTGATTTCTCATGGAGAGAATCAGGCATGGTTGTCAAGCTGAACGTTGTTTCTTCACTGCTAACTTAAATCCAATTTGTATACGTTGCTTTATATTGTACTGTATTGTTTCGAGTTGTAATTTAATGTATTCCGTTGCATTCCACTTGTGTAATTTTCGTGTATTCACTAGCAAGAGACTCGCACTACCATTCCGGGACTTGTAGTGTTAGGTTTAAAACGGTAGTAGAAGTAACTCTCCGCGACAATCGTTGCTCAGATCCAGCCGGATGTTAAGCACTGGTGGCTATGGGTGGGATGCTTCTCCTAACTGATGAGGATCCATTTGCATGCATAATGCGGCTGAGGTGTTCATCTGCATCCACTTGAGTTGACAATCATTGTCCGCCACTTTGAATGATGGCATTAGAACTGCCTCCGGTCTTATCCCCCCCTCGGATTTACACCGGGCACAGGACACGCAGGACTGGGCACAAACTGTGACATTACACTGTGCGCAAATGTCCATCAGTTTCGTTCGATATGACAGAACAATGCAAATAAACGGATGTACCTACCATAGACATGTGTAGTGTGCATGTATGTATATTGATGTGAAATCGTCAAAAAAGATTCCGGCATCAAGATTGGTCTGGCAATCCATTATTTCAGTGGCACAAGTACGACGCAAATAATAGACAAACCCCAATCTGTTCGGACGACATCGATGCTGACAGCTGCCAAGGTGGCCAATTGAGATCCAGTCAAACGACCTTCCGCATAGGCCATCTTCCAAGTTTGTTTCATCGTGACGTACTGACGTGTCTTGCATTCCAGTAGACTGATGCGTTCCTGACCGGTTGTATCCGCCGGATAGACGGAAAGCAGAAGTCGCCAACCAACTTTCCGTACGCTGGGCTCCAAACCACAACGATACACGTGCCAACTGAAATTGAGAAGAGCGAGGAAAAGTAACAGTACGGTAGGTGGACGGGTGGAGAAACAACCATCTCAATCAGTCTGATTAGCAGCTATCTATACCGTTATATTAATAAGCGTTCAGCTGTAACATCCTATCTATCATGGTGGCTGAGATACTGTCAAGTTGCCCAAGCCCGGAGTGGAGCAGCCGAGATGCACGGGTTGGGTTCCAATCGCAAACCTTTAAGCAGTGAGCTGTTTTGATCTCCACAAGCCATGTACCAAGGGTACACTGGCTCCAGCTGCTACAGTTTCGGTCACCGAAAAGTGTGAGAGCAGAAAAGCTGTAGCAAGGCTTCAGAGGCGATGGCCTTCTCTATTAGTTGGTGTTGAATCAATCTGGTTATTTTGGAAAACGGCAGACTGGACGGTTACGCATTAAACGAGAGCTTTGATACAAGAGTACCACCGACTAGGTAATTGAGCCATATCTGTTAGCGTTATTGACAATTGGCGAGTTGAATTCCGGATTCCTCATCCGGGAGGGGGGCGGTAGTTGCCGGCCCAGCTGGGTTTACTGCTTGGTGTTTTCATACTTTGTTACCAGGTTATGGACTGCCCGTCACTCAGTTGTTTCCACTTAGCACTGAGATGGGAAAAGAGTTCGGTGAGACACACGGTCCTCTAGCATGCGGAGTACAAGTCTTAACCAGAGCACCGCATAAGTCGTGATTAGCTGGCCCATCGCAAAAGGGGTCATCCTGAAAACAAACTGGCGTAGGTTTCGATGTTCCCAGCGGACTCAGAAAATGCTTCAAAGACACCGACATTCAAATAACAATCTTAGATTGTACAAAGGCTTCACCTCAAAATGGGATACCAAAGAGTGAACTAGGCTTTCCCCCTTGGAGAGAGCGCGCCGAACAGAAGACCACTTCGAGTTGGAGTTTCCACTGAGTTTTCGGACGATAGGGAAGACCGCCTCACCGTTCAAAACACCGAACATTTTCCGAGGCATATTTTTGTCCAAAGCCTTTCACAAGAGAGCGAAATTCATCCGCCACACTTGTCGGACACAAACGAATGACTACATTTTCAATCACCGTGCCGATTTTCCTGGGTAACAAACGCCAAACACGTTTTGACAACGTTTTCACTCAGGATATAGAAGGTAACAAGTCTGTCCAGCGACCGCACTCAGCATCATATTCTCTCAAAATCCATTCAGACGTATCACCAGTCACAACCCTGGATGTTCCTTGGATCAAAACCTCATGCATCATTAGCTCCCAAACCCCGAAAAAAATGTACGGAAATTCTCCGAACAAACCTCCTCCAGCTTTTCACCGCCACGCGACTGCCCCTACGGTTGAGTGTCCTGGATTCTGTTGTTAATTCCCCTGATGATTCCGTGGAAGGTCCACATCTTTGAAAGCATTTGTCCACATCACAGTGGTCCTCCATCCGATATGGATTGTAATTGGGAGAGGAAAAATGCTCTAGATCTCGTATTGTCCTTATAGCATCATAGGGACATATCAGAAAGAAATATTGGCCCTTAGGGGCTTTGCTGTGGTGGCAAGATCGGTCATGAGGAATGTGTTGGTCTCCAGGTCACTGTAGGCGCTCACAAAAATTACTTGGTATATGCAAACGGGTAAGGTGACGCAGGCAGACGCTGCGTAACTTACGATTGGTCGTTCATTGTATACAGCAGTCCGGTTACGCTAACAGAATGGCCCTTAGGGGCTTTGCTGTGGTGGCAAGATCGGTCATGAGGAATGTGTTGGTCTCCAGGTCACTGTAGGCGCTCACAAAAATTACTTGGTATATGCAAACGGGTAAGGTGACGCAGGCAGACGCTGCGTAACTTACGATTGGTCGTTCATTGTATACAGCAGTCCGGTTACTGCTAACAGAAGTGGCGTTCGGTGGTGCAGTGAACAGCCGCCGGTCTTCTAGCATGATTCAACTCGAACAGTTAGTTAAACATCGATTCTGATGGCCCGGACATCTTCGTCGCTATCCACATGCCGAAACAAGCATAGGTCCATGACTGGCGTTGTTGTCGAGGTGGCAGTTAACAAACTGAATTGACAAGATAAATTCTACTGTTGAGTGCCTGGATCTGAAGGTTGTCTAGGACCTAGGTATCTATTCGACTTGGACTGAAAATCAAACACAGATAGTTCAGCTGCTGCTACTACCTGCAACACGGAGATCACTAAACTAATGCTTAAAAAGGTCACGACTTTCGTGCCTACTCATACGTTTAACCAGTCGCCTATCGGGGAAATAGGGTGACTTCCGTGAACACGGATGCAGTGGACATCCTCTGTGCAGTGCAGAAAACGGCAAGACAATCACATTAGGTCATTGAGTACAACATGCCGCAGTACGGCTGCTTTAAAAGTACAGCACATAACAGGGTTGCTACTGTGGCATGGCCATAGCCCAAACAAGAGGGATTTGGAACTTGGGGAAGGATTCGAAACACAAGTCTTTTGGTCCAGAGCTCGTACACTAAACATCGAACTAACGAGACTGTGGATGCGAGAATGCTTATAAAGTCGTGTCCTAAACCACTCAGCCATTAGTTTTCTATGGCATCAACTTTCAACCCAAGTAAGCTTCGTGCAAGAGGATAATGGACGCTGAGACTGATAAATCAGGTTTTCCAGAGGGATTATTTGTTAAACCCTCGGTTGACTTGAAGCATTTGTGCAAGGAAACAGGGTTCAAAGTTATGGTGCTTGTCGTATTTTTGTGCACAGCACAAAGTAATAACAATTCACTTGTCAGTACGCAGTGGATTGACTGCTGAGTTAATACGGCGAAAAAGCATTCCATTCTGTGCTGAAGGAGAGGACCAAATTCGCCCCCGAGTTTTCGGAGGTCCCTTCCTGCCTTTGGTAAGCTAGAACTATCTCAAACCCGGTGCCTTCTCCTGGTCCAATTGCAGCTGTGGGCTGAAAGGTTCTTACAGTTAAACAATTTAATCTGCGTTTCTTGAGCAAAGGTCAACACAAGAGTCGGAGGAGTAATGCGATAAGAATTGAGTAACTCCGGACTTCGCAAAGGATATCAAAAAGCTGAGGGATAAAATGTACTCACCAGAACTTCTCTAGCTGGGTTACACGTCCTAATGCATCCAGGTAATCGCGGAATTGCGCGTCCGATATCGGTGAGTCCTGAAGTTGCAGCCCTTGCTCATTCTCATATTTTAAACCTTATCACAAGAGAAAATGGAATACATTCAAGGAAATTGAAGAATCAAGGGGAGGAATGCGACTCCTGAGTTTGTGAGTATGAATGATGAAGCTGTAGAGATTTATATGCGTCCAATAGGCTGACTTTGGACAGTCTATCAGATTTTTTCAACAACAACATAAGCGTCCCACGATCCGGGGAGATGAGTAGCCATGGAAGAGTTATTTCAATTTAATTCAAACCCACCAAAGTAGCTACAGCGAGTTTGTCAACTGCCAAAAAGAACAATATCTTTCTTAAACGATATATATGGATAAAGAAGGGTGGATATGCAAAATATTCCTTCTTGGCTACGAAAGCAAGTAAATTTCGTGGTATTATGAAGGGACCGTCTTTTGTGTCTGACACACATGAACATATGATTGCAGTAAAGGTAGGTTCGTCGAGTAAAGAGAGTACTACAGATTCAGTAGTCCTATCGGTCACTCTAGGGAATTGGTAACTATGAAAAGGCGTCTGGTCCTAAACATATTGCAACTTTTCATAGAGCAAAGACCTTATTTACCCAGGCACCGATCGCAGCCAAAAGGTATGTTCATCCAAACTTAGTCTATAATCGACTTCAAAAATATAAGGTGGTTTGTTTGTACTGGGAGAGTGGTTGTGTTGAGAAGAACAAATTACGCCAACATGCGCAGTGTGTTATGAGGCGTAGAAGAAGGAGTGGGTATTGCATTGACGAAAACATACCCTTGATGTGTACAAAATAGAGAGAAAATAAACAACGCAGTGCTCAAAGTGGCTACGTGCACTATTTCTGGGTCGCGCATAAGAGGGGCATCCAGTGGCATTTGGCCGGGATGAGAGCAGCTGCTGCTGGATAACTATAGCGAACAGTCCAATAAATAAATAGAAATGGGACCGCTGTCCTCTTGAATCGAATCTTGATTCTAAACTGACTCCAGCATAACCTAAACAGTTCAATTTGAATACAGCACAGTCTGCTCATCCTGTGCGTGTATATCACGCATTAAACAAGTATGCTGGACGTCTTGATTGAATGAGTTTGCCCCTAATGGTCTGTGGTGAGGGCTTTATGTCCCACTTTAGGCGCTCTCTTTGGAACACCATAATTGCCGTTTATTCTTTTCGTGCTGACAAATATATAGCCTCCTTTCCATGATATACAGTCTTGTGCGATCTCTTTTCAATAAACGACACTTCAAGATGGAATAGAAGAGGGGAGTAGTTACTTCGGACTTCTTTGTGTTGCTGCGTTTGGTTCACCTTAATCAAAAGAAAGCATTCCACATGTTTATCACAAGGATATTGAGATATCGATGAGCATTTCGTTTCTTTCTTTGGCACATCACTTTTTGCTATACTGTTGATTTGAACCTATGAGCGAAAAGAAATGGGAAATATACGGTGGTGGTCGCGGTTGGATGACCAACCGATACGGCAAAAATCATTTCGGTTAAGCCATGCGGTAAGTGGCAGTTATCATTGTACCTAGCGGAACCTGGAGATTTCAGATTTTGAAGGATGAGACCACCTAAATAGGCTTTCAAGATACGCAGCTTCCTGATCTATGCATCATTTTGGAGACTTGGACAGTGTCAAGTTTGCATGAGTGTCAGGAATCCAGTTGGCAAAGGCAGCAAAATCATGAAAGTGGCAATAGCGCAGATCAGGAGAGCGAAATTTGAATATCATACGATTCCAACTGAATTCACAGCTTTAAAAAGAGACTAGTGTTCCATTGTCGTATCGTACTACCCACACAGATAGCCACAACCTACTTGACACTAGGTCGATCAGCCGTAACCCTCTTTCGGTGCCTAGCGGCCCTGTCACCAGGAGGAAGCAAGAGGGTTAGGATATTGCCAAGTTACTCGGGCTTAGACACTAGAAATTGAGATGCAGAGGTCGAGTTGGAACCACGGACCTTCCGTTCAATAAACTGGCGTTCTAACCGGTGAACCATTTCGGCAGCTTGCCAGTTCATTCGCTTTCAGGTCCATTCATCTGGTCATTTGCTTGGCTTTGTTAATACTCTAGAAATATCTGAGCTACTTGTAGAAAACACGACAGATTGACTAAATAAGCAAACTTTTTCACTCTGAAGTGGATTCACGTTGAAAGCGCAGAAGAGAACACGCAAGATTCATAAAAAAACATCATCAGAGTCCCAAAGCTCATTCCCCTAAAAAACAAGGCACTGTAGTTTCTCACAAAAACGCTGAGTTAGTAAAACTGCTCACATTTCCGTTGTCACAGTCCTACCATAGAAAAAAAACAGGTATACCATGTCAAGTACACAAGAGAGGAAAAAACACGGTGTGTAGATCAGATTAGTTACACGTGGCATCGTACCGGGGATCGTAGAAAAATCGCTGATACCAGGGCGTTCGCACCATCGACAAAATGTCCCAGTGGATCACGTTTCGGGTTATCACCGTTATACTATTGCCTACATGTTTCGAACTCAACTGATCCTGCTTACCACTTGTTAGCGTGTTTCCCAGGTTTCTCCTTTGATGTCGTCAGTTGTCGTCGGTCCGCTTGTTTCTTTGCAGCCTACCTCATCTGAAATTCTTTGGTTTTCTCCGTACTTCTGAACAGTGCATGCTACGCATGGGTACTCGCACACCCTGACGAAAACAACCGAAGTCCATTTTGACAAAATATGCTGTAGGTGAAATGAGTACTCAACCCAATGTGAATGCAGAAACAAAAATCTCGCATGAAATATTTTACGAGTTTATTATTATATTGGAAGCCACGATTGAAAACAATAAACAATAAAATAAATAGTAAATATTAAGCAACGTAAAAGTACCATTAGCGATCACTAACCCGCACTTACCTATCGCACGTTGTACGCTGGCCACTGTCTTGCTTAACCGTTGAGAAAACTGAGAAAACATAGATTGAGGAGGGTCGGTGAGAGGTTTTGCAGCACCTTCTGATTGCCGAACGTGGGGGACCTTCACGAGTCCACGAGCATTGATCCGCCTGTCAGCTGGCACGACAATATCCCAATCATTCAGGTCTGCGTGGAAATACTTGGAAGTTAAACATTTGCAAGATCAGAAAGTAACTATATACTAAGTTGGGATCACTAATAGATAGGCGAATGTTTCGTTGGGGGAGGCAACGCCCGACAACCCATATAGAAATTGGTGTGGCTCACCACCCAGAGCCCCAATGGACCGGGCTGTCGAATTATATAGCCGACACGAAATGATAAATGCATTGAACATTCTTCCATGGCGTTCCGCAACGTACGCGGCCCAAACAGGACCTTTAACTCAGTCCATAACTACTTATTCCGTTCACCTATCCTGTTCCTAGACGAGACTGGAAGTTCAGGAGCTTCTCTTATGACTCACCAGTTCTCAAACCAATCTTCATTTTATCAATCTCGTAGTGGTTAATATTAGTTAATAATAGTAAGTAATATTCATTGTCTGTCTCCCTCGATTAGTCCACATTTTGTTGTACCTAGCTTACTCCGAGTGGTAATACGGACTATGAATTTTCTCCTCCTTGAATATCAATTTTTTTCCAATCCGACTCGACCACCGAAATCAGCATTCTTGGCAGCTTCAGCATTCCAAATGGCTTGCTTCCATGGTGTCGACGAATCAGGCAGGTGATGCAGAATACTCTTCAACTAATAACACATTTTTCCAACTCGCGATCTTTCCCACTCGCAACCCGGACTGCGACAGAGACGTCCCGAAACCCCTGGATCTTTTCCTTACCACCAACTCTTGACGTTCGACTGTAACGCCTTTCTGGTTCACGCAACTCGAAGGCAAGAGGGCTTTCAGGTTGTCGAATCCATGGTCAAGTTTGAAACATGGACCTCCCGGTCAGCAGCTACGGACCTCAACCAATGAGCTACCCAGAACGCTTGACGACAAACCTGGTTCTTATCGTCTTCTTTTACCCCACTAGGATCCCCTGACGAAAACGAATATGCTCCTTCAATGGACTTCACTGTCTCAGCGTGTCCTCTGACCATACTCTTTCACTGCGTGGGAGAGCATGGATCTATTCTTCTTCCCATATCTCTGGAAATATTGTTCCAATCTGCGAGAAGTTCCTGAATAGTACTGTTTGATGTCAGGCAAAAATTAACATTCACTTGGGAAGATATAGTAAACAACGTTCCCTTGGTTAGTTGATTATGTCCAAAAGAATCGTTCGTACCAACCCCAGCTAAGGAACAGTCGCCCACTCACACAGTATGCTCACAACTCCTGCAAATTCACAGGTGATAAAGTTAAAAACAATTCCATCAGTCACGGGGCCAACCAAAAGTGGAGTGCGGGTGGGCGAAGGCAACACTGATAAACACAGAGATCTAGCACTTGAGATAAGTGCATCCAGGACGGGAAGATGTGTAGTTACCGTTGGAAAAGTCTGATTTGGTAAAGAACTCAGTTAAGCAAACTGGTATATACCGGCTAAAGACAGTCGTTCCATGACGAGAGACAAAAGTGCTAGATGAATATCAACAAATGAGTGCAGATATAGATGGTGACTACAATGCCGATAGGTGGACCAGTCAGTTGAACTATACCTTTTGGAGCTCGGTGGGGAATAATCGAGGGAACGACTTACCAGGAGGTGTTGTCTTGATATTCACTTTCACACGCAGCGCAGGCTTGGAAGATGTCAAAACAGCCGCATCCATATCCCAGTCGGATTGTAATGGAAGGTAGAACTGTTCACCGTAATCATCTACTGCTAGGTAGCTGACAGAGAAGTCACTACCAGTCATTCAAAATGAAAAGAAGTGTGAAGTCGTTTTACAAAGGTAAACGTGCTACCGAGTAAGCGAGGTAAAACGCCACAACAAGTTATTCAAAAACGACGCACAAATCACCCTCAACGACATCAGAGTTCGACATTGATGTTGTAGAAATCACAGTTGTACGTGGACCCCAATACTATCAGGATTCCAAAACCTAGACTAATAGGAACCTCAACCAAAGCTTTTAGTCCGAAAGTCAGTGACTTTCGGCTGGAAACACCAGTGCATAAGACTTCTCTAGAGGACAATTCGCCACACAGGTTCCAAGTCCCTTACGTACAACGATCTTACTGTATCCCTGTGTTATGTAGTCTGCCAAGGAAACACTCGGGTGATGCTGTTAGACGACAGCTTGGGAAGAATCAGACCGTTCCGGACACCATCCTAGCCACCACTACCACCGTCAGTGAAATTAAGCCCGCAGCTTACAAATTATAGGTTTCAGGTAATCCGAGGATCGCCAACGGGCAGATGCTACATATGGAGCACATCCAAAAGACCGTCGTTCAGCTGTAGCACTCTTTCGGTGCCTCACTGCCATGCCACCCAAAGGAAGCGCGAGGGCTGGGATAGTGCCAGGTTGCCCAAGCCTAAACAGGGGAAGTTGAGATACAGACCCTATTCAGACAACAACGACCGCATTCAACTTAAAAAAGAATTAGCGACAAACGGCGACATCGCTGAGCCCTATGAACGCTCCATGACTTCGTGGATATGTAGGTAGAAAGGATACTAACCGACGTCCCGGACTTTCCAATCTGCCAAGCAAGAAACAACCCAGAGAATTAGGCATCAGCAGCGACATTATTTATAAGAATATAAATAATGATGTTTAACTTCCATACGATTAGGAGGAAGGAATGCCCTAGTAGACAATGAAGGTGAGGTATCAGTGCAAATAAACCCAAACTTCCCATGGAATATGGTCAACAATACGGCAGCTATACAATCAGATAGTAGTGAAGCACGCCTGAGCATCATAACAATGAGACTGGTCCACCGTTTTTTGCGAACTCTATCTAACGAGAATCCAGCATACAAGCAGTCTGGTCAATAAGGGACTAACTGCTCGGTACCGAGATCGGCTGGGTGCAATGTCCTGTAAGGTTTCCAACAAGCCACAAAACATGTCAACAGGACCCCAGCCAAGATGTGAACGTCTTATGGCGCCCGATTCAGGTGTAACCGATTTTATTCCGTGTTGACATTTCACGACTAATCGTCTATCAACTTCTCTCCAGCGATGGATGGATGGAGAACGTTTTCTTTGGGAAACAGCTGTCGGGCATGCATGGCACATGTCACAACCACCTAGATCTGACGCTCTGTTTGCGGCTCTGATGACTTAACTTCGCCGCCAAGTGTTCGTTGTTTCCATACAAGCAAAGCCCAACTGTTTCCTGTTAGGCTACCAGGGTACCAGCAAGCAAATGCTTGGGGAATTTTACGCATGCGGGTTGTAGCCACACAGACTAATCTTACGTATACCTTGTATACACGTTCTAGGGTCTTTTTCATGCTTCTAAACCATACAATAATACAACCCTTAGTGTGGCCTGGCATACAAAATCCTTTTTGAGAGACGCAACTTTCCAAACGTGATTCTGGTCTTTGAGATTCGGGCACAGACATCATCAGACACACTTCCTCAGAGCTATCATAACCAGTGAGGTAATTAAAGATCTTCAAAACCTCTAGAACTTCTCCTTGAAATACAAGCCACAGGGGTTGAGAGACTCATCATCATCATCGACAGCACGACAGTGATGCTCCGCTGCCGTATTCGAAAGCCTTGTGAAGAAAAGGATAAATGTGCAGGGTGGACTAAGTGCTAGCTTATTACAATCATTCCGAGGTACCAACACCCCCAGACACTCATTCAGACAATCTAGATAGAAACTGACAACAAGAACGCCATTGAAATCTTTTAGCAGTCATATAATGCAATGTCTTCAACCAGGCGCAGTGAGAATCACGCGGTCCCCATCCTGGCAGGCATGTAGCGCCCAAGCGTTTCGTGATTCCATTCTTAATCCTATGTCAGGTCAGGTGTTGGCCACCTCTATGCTTTCGCCACTGAATTAGGCGCGGAAAACACCACTCTTCGGCAAACGATGGTGCGGCATGCGCAATACATGGCACAACTAGCAGAGCTTCTGGTGCTGGAGACATTCTTCAAAGTACCCGTTGCACAACCAAAAACTGTCTTCCTAATTGCTCCGTTGCTCCTACAATACCAATTCGCAAGAGCTATGTTTTTGAGACAACGGTTGCTGAATACCTGAAGACTTCCCAGTTCCACTGGTCGAACAAGCCAAGTCTCACAGCCATACAACAAAACAGCCCGCAATGTACACACTTCTGTTGAAATTCAGGGACACACTACTTTGTCTCAAATTAGCAAACACGAGCCTTGCGGAAATCAGAGCGCGAATTTACTGAGCGGAAGGTCCGTGGCTCGAACCCGACCACTGCCTCTCGACTTTCCCTGTCTAGGTTTGGGCAACCTGTAAGTATCCCAGCCCCCCGTGCTTAATTCAGGTGGCATGGTACTTAGACACCAGAAGGGTAATACAGCTGAACGATTGGTTTTATCTTCACGCCTGAGTAGGACATGTAGCACTTATAGTGCTATTTCTCCAGTTAATATCATCTCATTTTTATCTGTCAATATTGGTAAAATTTTGTAAAGTATGTTTCAATTAAATACAATAAAAGGAGCCCGCTCCTTGGGCTCAACGGTACATTGCGCCTCTTGCTAAGTGATTGTTGTGACTGGCGGTTGTATACTATTGGCCATCACTAATTTCCAACGTGAACAAAAATGTTAGCCACAAACAATCGATTAATATTGCGCCTACCAGAGGTTTGGAATACCAAGAAAGTATAATCTTCCTTTCGTTGTGTGGCGACTCAACGGAACACGGACCATCGGCAATTCCTCTTGTGAATTCTGAGTCAGGATTTCTTTGGATTGCTTTGCTTTGTGATATCGTATTTAAGTTACAGTAATAGTTTGTTCTGCGCATTAGACGACTCCTTAGGGCCGTTAACCAATAAAAACGAGGCATACGAAGACCAATGACAGTAGTGTCATGCAGCAGTGGCGTTCGGCATATTTCAGTCATTATTATTATTATTGTTATTATTATTATTATTATCACCCGACCTAAAGCTGCCACCTTGACGTGGTGGTCGGGCTTGAGTGCTGCAATGATCCCGCGGGCTACACTGGCTGGAACTTCGTTCCACAAGGTACAACCATGCCAGGAAGG